CCTCAGGTCAACCAGTTGAGAGCCCTTAGGAATGGAGTCCATTCCTCTGGCTCTGATGTGTCACAGGCAAGCATGAAATTATTGACCTCTTCCCCCTTCAAATCTAGTTTAAAGCTCTGTCAATGAGACCTGCCAACTCCTTCCCCAGAATCATTTTCCCTCTCTGAGACAAGTGAACCCCATTGGCTGTACGCAGCTCTGGTGTCTTGTATACCGATTTATGTCTATGAAATCCAAAGCCCTGTCTAAAACACCAGTGGTGAGGCCATTAATTGACCTGTTGACTCTTCCTGTATATTCCCACGTCCATCGCTGATGTCAGAGGGATGGAGGAGAATATAACTTGAGCTCCTGATCCCTTTACCAGTTGCCCTAAGGCCCTGAAATCTCTTTTAATTGTTTGTGAGCTTCTCATTGCTACATCATCACTTCCCACCTGGAAGACCAGAAGCGGGTAATAATCAGAAGGACTCACAGGGTGGGAAGTTTACCTACAACATCCTTTACCCAGGCACCAGGAAGACAGCAGACCTCTCTATGAAGTGGGTTTGATCTACATATTAGTGCTCCCCTCAGCAAGGAGGCACCTACAACAATGACCCTTCGATTTTTCTTTTCAGGGTCAGTACTAATGGCTCTCCCGAGGCAAGTTGGCCTTGATGGTTCTTCTGGCCTTCCTGAGCCCTTGTCTTTGTCCGCAATGAGTTCCTCCTGGAGAGCACCATACCTGTTCTGCAAGGGCTCCATAGGTGGTGCGTTTCTTAAAAGAACCCACTTGCTCCATTTGTTTCTTTTGTTTCTTCGAGCAGAGACCTGTTCCTATTGGCCCTGCTTGTGTGGGTTATTACGAGAAGGCTGGGGAGCATGCTGATGTGAGGCTACAAGATCCTCTGCTCCACTAAGAGTTGCCTCCTGTTCCATTTTTTTAGAGCTCTCTTTGTGGAAACAGTCAGTTGCCCTCTTGCTCTCCCTTGTGCTTCTCAATCTACTTACCTCTTCCCTAAGCTCCATCACTTCACCTTGGAGCTGCGCCACCCAGCTGAGCAGATAATCAACCTGCTCACACCACACACTACCATCGTCAGCAGTGCACTCTGACGCCAGTGAAAGGCTGTGACATTCCTCACAGCCTGTGGCCTGGATACCGGCATCCGTTTGGGTGGGTGTTGGCAGCACAATTTTCCTCCTTTGAGTAGCCACCATGATTCCTTGAGTAAAGTGTAGCACTATATATACTGTATTTACTATATATAGTAAAACATGCTGTAAGATGAGAAGGACATTAAAGGCGAACTACTAAAAGTGAGGATGTTGGAGGTGACATCCAGTAGACTATGAACTCCAATACTTAATTTTCATCTTTAAGAAACATAGTAAATTATTCCTCATACTGTTTGCTTGTCTTATAAAAAGATAAAGGAAGTGAGGTGGGAAGGAAGAGAAGGTTGACTATTTTGTTTGACTGTAGGATAAGTTATAAAGTGTATCAGATGCTTTGATCACAACTCAAAATCAAGACTGGTCTCATTTGAAATTAGGGTATCTGTTCAGGATTTTTAATTTCCAAAGTGATAACTGCTCCTTTTCAAGCTAATCTGATTATCCATCACCTGTAATTACCACTTGCAGAAATCAGAAGGAATTGCAGGCTTGTTCCTGCCCAGTGTCTTCCTTTCCTCTCTTTCAATTTGCTCAACATACCAAAAATCCTTTAGAAACATTTTTTCCAAATTCCTTCCGTACTTTTTTTTGAAAAGTAGGGACCTGGGGTTGAGGAGCATGTTTCTGAAAGACTGCTTGTTGAAACGATTGTGCAAAGTGTAAGCTCATTGTTGTGTGCCTGGATTTATCAATATCTGAACTTTCAGCATATCAGCAAATACAAATTGCTTTTGTTCACATCTGTTAACATCTTTTTCAAGCTTGATCAGGGCTTAAGTCACATCTTGGGATTACCACTCTTTATAGTGTCTCTTGCTCATTAAATGACTTTAGAAACTTAATTTAATGTTTCCAAATTGTTTTTTCTTTTTCTAGGCTGCGCAGTCAGTACTGATTTCCCTTTTTGAGCTCAACACTCCAGAGTTTACAATGCTATTGGGTGCTTTACCAAAAACATTTCAGGATGGAGCCACAAAGCTTCTCCATAATCATCTCCGGAATACAGGCAACAGTGGTCAGGTATCTACACCTCTTATTTATTTTCTGAAGTTACTGCTGTTTTGAACAAAAGTTCATTTCAGTGATTTGTGAGAGCAAGAAGGTTGATAGATGAGGGGAGGCAACCCAAATCCAATATAAAAGTCTGTCTGAGTAGCAGATACTACTCTTTATGGAATGCCTTTTCTTTCTTTCAGAGAACGATACTTTCTAAGTCCATGTTGCTTTCAGGTGATTTAAAAAGTTTGAATGTGCTTTTTAAGAGTAGTTTATCTTTCACTTCACTCATTTCAAAGTTACACCTGATCGAAGTTACTAGCAATTGGTTAGCCAATTCAAGAAGGTCAGTGCAAGCACTTTACATGTTTCTGGGTACTAGAAAATAAATGCAATAAGTTTAAAGGGAAGATGAAGTCTTACTGGAGTATCTCTTCTCTCCTTCTCCAGGGATCAATGGGAAGTCCTTTAACAAGACCTACTCCACGCTCTCCAGCAAGTTGGTCAAGTCCTCTCACTTCCCCAACCAATACATCGCAGAACACTTTGTCACCAAGGTAACGTAGGCTTGGTTTTGCTCCAGTTCTGCATCCAAGGCTTCATTACCTGTTCGACAGGGAAAGTGTGGAGGGAAGTTTGTTTCTTTAGGCAGATGCTGCTACATAACGTAGCCCTTCGCTTAGCTAACTGCTGCTGGTGTGTTCTCCATCAGTGGCAGTACACTTTGATGTACCATAATACAGTTTTGTTATGTCGAGAGTCAGCTTTCTTCCTTAATGTCTTTAAAGAAAAATAACAATTTTTATAATTTCTTGAGTCTCTGTAGTTTCACCCTAATGTTATTCAAAAATACGGAGTCACAAAATAAATCAGTCTTAATTCCTCTGTCTTTCTCTGTGGCCCACAGTGCATTTGACTATGACACTGAAAATATGAATTCTGAAGACATTTACAGTTCTCTTCGTGGAGTCACTGAAGCCATTCAGAATTTCAGTTTTCGTAGTCAGGAAGATATGAATGAGCCTGTAAAGCGAGATTCCAAAAAAGATGATGGCGATTCGGTGAGTCTTTAAACTCAGTGCATCTCGGTATCAACAAAACAAGCCCTTTCAGTAGGTTCATGTGTTAAGACAGGGCTTCAGAAAAGTATGTTTCTGATCTCGAACCACATTTTGGAAAGGTAAATGCTAATTATAAGCAGCACTAGCTGTTTGATTATTTTAAAATGTTAGCAATTTTAAAACAGATTGTCTTGAAAAACAGATGGAGTTCAGTTTTTGAGAGGTCTACATCTTAATATATGTTTTTCCAAAGATTTTATTCCATACAAGACTTGTGGGGTTTTCAGTGGTACATGCAGTGTTTTAGAGTTCTCTTTCAATGGAACTTTGACTTTCCGATTCGTTGAGTTTGCCAAATATCTGTATGCATAAACATGTTTTTTAATTGCTTAGCATCAAACTCCTGAGTTAAAATACTGCCAGCTGTTTCTAGTTCATCTCTTTTGGGGGGAGATTATGCACAATTTTTTCTTGTTGTTGTTTTGTTGAAGGAAAGCTCATGATATTTCTTTTCCTGCAGATTTGCAGTGCTTCTGGAATAGTAGACCTCCGAGCGGGAAGTGTTGGGAGTGATACAGGTCGAACGGCTCTTGATAACAAAACGTCATTACTCAACACAATGCCCCCCCACTCCTCGCCACGCTCCCGAGATTATAACCCCTACAATTACTCAGATGGTATCGGTTCATTTAATAAATCTGCTTTGAAAGAAGCCATGTTTGATGATGACGCAGAACAGTTTCCAGATGGTAAACTTCGGATTGCATTCTGTCCTAGAAGAAAAATGGGGAGGTTTTCCATCTTTTAGTTCAGTTTCTGAATTTATTATTAGCACTGTACATATCGCCAGTGCTGCTGTTTTGAGAGGTTTTTACCAATATCGTATTTGGAATTAGCTTGCTTGTCAGTAATCCTCTTGAGTGACATTGTTGGATTAACTGGCATTTATAGAGATTAAGGGTAAAAATGATATAAATACTGAACTACATTCTCTGCGTATGGAAGCACATCCTGTAGCAGTGTTGTCAATATAAACTTACTTTATGACTGAAATTTAAAGGGAGGGAAAAAAAGATTTACAGCAAGGAAGCAAAACTGGATCAATCCGGTTTGGGAATTAGGTGAAAGATGAAGTATTTTGTGAGCAACATATTTGTCTTTGAAACACAACATTGGCATTTTCTATTGACTAAACACTCCAAAATCAAACAAACCAGCTTTTACCAGGAAGGTGGTTCATTTAGCTCATATAATTCTAGGAACGTGGGTTGTTGCTTTGGAGACTTCTGGAGCTTCTTTTGAGTATTTCTCAGTATGTCTTGGGGTGATTTTTTATATCTAAAAGCTGGGAGTTTTCCAAAGTATCACTGCTACCATTATTTTTAAAAAGCAAGAGGTGGTTTTCATAATCTGGTATTCATTGTTGTTGATACTTCATATTCGGTTAGAGATTAAAATCAAACTTTTTAGTAAAAACATTTCTTAATAGTGAGGGACGTATGGGCTTTTCCCCTTCTGACTGTGTTCCCTTTTTGCAGAGCCTCCTCTGGACCATTCTGATCTGGTTGCAGAGTTACTGAAAGAGTTGTCAAACCATAATGAGAGAGTTGAGGAAAGGAAGGCTGCCCTGTATGAGCTCATGAAGTTAACTCAGGAAGAGTCTTTTGGTGTTTGGGATGAGCACTTCAAAACAATACTACTACTGCTGCTTGAAACGCTTGGAGATAAAGAGGTAAATTCAGATGAATCCACTTAAAAATGTTAACAAAGCACATGATTTACTTTGAATGTCTTTGGAATTTGTGTGGGTTGTAGAAAGGGCACAAATTCCAGTTAGTCTTGGAAAAACAAAAAACTGGAAATACCAAAATGTCCTGAAGTCTGAATGCCACAATAAAGAAAAAGGCATCACTTAAACTTTCTCAAGTATTCTTATTTGTCAGTTCTCACACAATAGGTTAAATTCTCATTGGGATTTGAGGCTTATTTGTTAATAGGCCCTGGTGGAATCTAGAATATTAAAATATCATGTGCGTCAAAACATTTAAATATATTTTGAAAATACAGTAATGCTCATTGTGAAGAGACTGAGATCTGTAAAATTGTCCTCTATGAGAGGGCTTTGTTTTTGAAAATACTGAGGATCAAAAAGACACTAAAACTTGGTTTTGACTAAAAATATTAATAATTTTTTTAGAACATTTTCAGAAATATATTTGCATGATGTGATGCTAATGGTTTTATCAGCACCTGTGAAGAGTAAAATTGTTTGCAACTGAAATTCTGGGTAGCATAGGTAATTCAGGTAGGTTAGCAATATGTTTATGATATGCCATGATATTTGCAAAATGAGAGATTGAAAAGAGTGAGAAACTGAATTTTTTTTTCCTAGCCTTATTTATTAACAATATATTCATACTCTGCATATGCAGAGAGCATAATCTGATACTCTTCCTTGATCTAAGACTCTTCTGGCTCCTGAATAAATGTTAAAACTTGTATCTGTTTAAAGATACCTAACTCAATTATTTTAAATCTTCAGCATGCAATTAGAGCTTTGGCATTGAAAGTTCTCAGAGAAATTCTAAGAAACCAGCCAGCAAGGTTTAAGAATTATGCAGAGCTCACAATCATGAAGACATTAGAAGCACATAAGGATCCTCATAAGGAGGTTAGTAATTGATTATTCTGTTTGTTTAAGGTTATGACAAGTTGTTGTAAAATCAAACAGCTGTTCAAAAAAAAAGTTTGAGATATTAGTCACATCTTATTGAGGAAGTAATTTGTTTAATAATCAAGTATTCAACTGTTACTAGTTAACAGTATGTATGAAGAAAACCACTGTGGTTTTATAAGCTCTGAAAGGCTTATTATCAGCCCTAATAAAAATTCAGCAAGCATGTTTGAAAAACTGATACGTGTATTGCCAAGAACATAGATTAGCCACAGAATATTGGGAAGAGTCTTGTTGTTAGGAAAGAATGTCCAACAGTTGGAATGTTACAGATTTTCAAAGGGCTCTTCAATCACATATTTCTGTAATCATGTGGAGCTCTTGGTAGGACATTTTTATGCTCTAGACCTTTACTGCCAGATAACACGCCATAGTAACTGTCTCCTGTAAACAGTTTTTCTGTATCTTTTACTTATTCTTTCACCAGGTGGTGAGATCTGCTGAAGAAGCTGCTTCCATGCTGGCCACTTCCATTAGCCCAGATCAGTGCATCAAAGTGCTTTGTCCAATTATCCAAACTGCAGATTACCCCATTAATCTGGCTGCCATCAAAATGCAGACAAAAGTCATAGAAAGAGTATCGAAAGAAACCCTAACTCAGCTTTTACCAGAGATTGTGCCTGGTCTAATACAGGTAAGGAGAGAAGAAGGAAGGAAAGAAAAACCAAACCCAGAACACCAACTGAGTAAGAAACCATATATATAAGACTTGCAGCAAAGTGGCAAAAGAAACAAAGATCATTAAGCAATGAGATGGGCGTTAACAAAAGAATGTTTAACTATAAGAGAGTACTTTCAGAGTAAGGAAGCTCTAAATTGAGTGTTCTTCTGCTTTAAGGAAATATCTGTATAATCTAGAACAATTTCTCTTCTATACTCTATTGCATGACAACAGCTCTGTTTTCAGTGAAGCTTAGGAACAGGATTGTGTTGGGGTTTAATTTCAGTCTGGAAAATGATTATCAATGGAGATTAATAAGCAGCCTGATTTCTAAGTGCATGCTCTGTATTTGTGTGTTTAGTGTTTTGCTGGAATGCTTCACTGGGCTACAATGGCATTAATTTACTCTAGACCTGAATGTATTTATTACAGTAAATAAGTAAATAGCGTTCTAAGGCTTTTAATCATTAACTGATAAGGTATTAATGTTAATTTCATTGCATTCTAGGGTTATGATAATTCAGAGAGCAGTGTTCGTAAGGCATGTGTTTTCTGCCTCGTAGCCATTCATGCAGTAATTGGTGATGAACTAAAACCGCATCTCAGTCAACTCACTGGCAGTAAAGTAAGTAAAAGATACCATTTCAAGACATCTTGGTTCTTAATTGTATGTGTGCTTTTGCATTTTGGTTGCAATTGCCAGAAAACTTTAAAAGTCTGCACTTGAATGAGAATATCAGGACTACTGAAACCCTCTGAGGATTAATATGACTTTGTCATCAAATGTTCAAAGCTGAAAATCCATAGAATATGCAAGTGTGAGAAATTTAGCACTATGATAAATACTAAATTGTGGGGGTTTACTGCTATTTAATGGATTTAGTGTTACTGGTTGTATCCCCACGAGTAGTTGTAATGGCTGTACTCAGCATGGCTTTTGCTGTCAGTATTTCTTGTTTTTCATGCAAGTGCTCAATGCAAAGCAATAAATGTAATGTGTAGATGTTACAGCAGTTTTATTTGTTGTCCTCCCCTGTTATGTTGCTTTCATCAGTCCTTTCGGTACCTCTCTTTTGAATTAATAACAGTAGTAATCAGTCTGTGCTCCTACTTATTTCGTTCAGGATATGTAGGATGTCAGTGACATCTTACAAACAGGTTTTTGCATGCAAACTGCCATAAGTTAACTGTGGATCTCTGTCCTTGTGAATAAAGCAGGACAATTAATTTTGTATATCTCTGAATAAGACATATCTTAAAATACTCTCTGGCTGATTGTGTTGAATGTGATCCTAGACAGCATTGGCAGCTTTAATAAGTACCAGCATCAGCAACTCTTAACTAGAGGCTTAAAACTTCGACACAAACTTAAAAGAAGAAAAAAACTTAGGTAGAACAGCATTGTCATTACAGCAAAATATTCTGTCTTAATCTAGTTAGTTGCCTTAGATCATTCTTTTGACATCCTTAAAGAAGCATGGGCAGTTGACCTGTGAGAAATTTTGCTGTGTTGGATGTTTTCATTGGTACATGTGTTACCTTTGAATCAGCTGTGTAAAATACAATTTTGCTTTCAGGGAAAAGAGAATGGTTTAATGTCTCTTTTATTGTACCATTTCTGTAGCCTGTACATTTTGCAAATACTAAACAAAGTGAATTTCTGGCTTAAATTTGCAGATGAAATTATTGAACCTTTACATCAAACGTGCACAGACGGGCTCGGGACCAGGGGATACAACAGCAGATCTGTCTGGACAAAGCTAATGAAGCTGACAAGAGTGAACCAGGTCTCCTAAAACAAGGACAAGGCCCTCTTCAGTGAAAGGAAGATTCTTACATACAACTTTCAGAACTTTTTACTTGTTGTTCCCCCTCCCTTTCTTTTACTATTTGTTTTTGTTTGTTTGTTTGGGTTTTTTTTGTTTAACCAATGGCTGTCCTCAGCCTGCATGTGACTTGCAATAGAATTATTCCAAATCCAAGGAAAAACAGTATTAACATCAGTTGATCAAAGCAGAATAATATTTAAAAATAATCTAATCCACCAGTTATCCTGTTCACAATCCTCTGTGTCTTCCCATTAACTTTTGCCAGTGTTACTGTATTAAAAAAAAATCTTTTTTTAAAAATGCTAATTAATAAGGTATGCTTTAAGCTTCAGAAGTTCAAATATAAATTCTGTTGCTTTTCTTCAGCTGCAGATAACGTTACTTTTTTTTTTTATTGCTATTTTGTTTAAGCATCATGCCCTTCACTAGAAACAAGAAGCAATGTGAAACAAGGCTGAACTAGTCTGAACCGCAGTGAGACTCGTTCACTGTGTTGGTGGTTCATCATCGTATTTACAGCTTGTTTGGGCTTTTCTGGAGATTGAGAAATAATGCCTATTAAAAAAGAAAAAGAAAAAAAAAAAAAGCTGGATTGATCCAGTTCTGTAAAAGTGATATTGTTCATTGGTTGTATGTTTGTTGCATAAATAAGAATTCAGTGTGTGCAGCAGAGGACTGGAACAACCAGTACCTCTTTAACAGGGAAGACAGACAGCCCTTTCAGGGTAGCGTTGCCAACCTGGTGGCAGTGTGGCAGCCTGCTTTCTAGCAGCAGAGTTTAATGATCACTTGATGGACGTGAACCATCCTTGTCACCTTTCGTTCTTCAAGCAGGATGCTTCGGAATGGAGTGCTCTGCCCAAGCATGCTCAGTATGTATTTATCTTTATCACTAGAATGTTTCCTCTCAACCTAATTGCTGGAGCGAGTAGTCTTGTATCATAACTCACTCGGGATTTTACAACAACAGTGCAGAAAAATGGCTAATTCGGTACCTTCCTAAAAGCACCGAGATTTTCTGCACTGAATTAAAAGGGGGAGGGGAGGGAGACAATAGTCACAAATGCTATGGATCTTGCCACCTTTTAATTTAAGAAAAAATAAAAATATATATTTTGGATGAGTTGGGAAAGCTGCACCAAATTATTTGCATGGTTTCCTTGAATAGCATCCTCAAGACCCATCTGGATTAAGGTGTGGAAATGTTTCCAGGGTTTGTTTTTCCATTTTTGAAAAAGAGTTAGTTTATTGTGAAAAATGGTTCTTTGTATTTATGAACTTGATAATGAAAGCAAAGATCAAGTAAATGTGTCCCTAAATGTTGTCTTTTTTTTTTTTTTTCCCCTTTTTCCTCTTTTTTTTCTTTTTGGTCTTGGATATAAGCAGCGAGCTAATTAACTGAAAACTGGGATGAAACAGTACACTTCCCAGGAATGGTGGAACTTTTTTTCCTGACTTCTTTTCCCTTTGACTGTGATGTTGTGTAGTTGTAGCAAATGTATCCTGATAAGAGAGAAGATAGTGGTGCCAAGGATGATGATCTATGCTAGGCTGAAATTCTCTCTACCTCTTCAGGGTGACTTAATTTTTGACTGAGCTGCTGCATATAGCACCCGGTAGAACAGTTATCTACAGAATATCTTTTTTCTTTATTTTTTTTCCAAATTATCACGTAACGTGTATTTTCAGAAGTCTGTTCTTCAACATTGCAGCCAAATATCATAAGAAACTCCTTATACACTTTACTTGTTAGGAACCCTGAAAAGCAAAACTGAATTAAAAAATTAAGTTGGATGCTTATAGTTACATGAAAGGTTGTTTTCACTTTAGTTTGAAGTGAACGCAATAGAAGGAGTGAGATGTGGTTGTTAAAGCAGTGCCGTTACAGAGATTTATTTGGAGGAAAAGTTGTAGAAATGTATGTAAAGACTCAAAACCAAGACTGTCATAACTCGTCACTAGCCCTTTTTAGCAGCTGCATCAAGAAAATAGTATCTCCTCTTTTGTTAGGTGTAACATCCTTGTTGTTTTCTACTGTTTAATTACATTGTGTATTTATAGTTCTATGCTTACCATTGTGCATATACTGGCAATAAAATGTACATAACATTACTTTAAAAATTAGCAATGTATACGTTCTGGTTTCCTGATTTATTTGATCACATGCTCTAAGAAAAACGGTAAATGTAATTGATACAACATTGGTTAAGAAAAGTTACCTTAATCTTCATGTTTTGTGTGTCCAGATGATATTTCTTTATATTTTTTGTTACTAAATCTGACCTGGCATTTGAAAACATTCTGTGAATATAGGTATTCTAGGCAAATTTTTTTTTTTTTTAAATTGAACAGAATCTGTATGAACACCCACCTAGGCAGGTTTCTTGTTTACTGTTTCATTTCTTTGCACATTATCCATTGTTTGCATTTAATTTTTTTGCTATTTCCAAAATATTTTTCAGTCTACATTCTTATAGTTGACCTTTTGATTATACAAAAGCTGACTTAAAAATAATTGCACAAACTCTAAACTTAATAATCCCGTATGTTATTCCTGCTTTTTTTACGGGTAATATTTATTTTCAGAGGATCATTTCAAGATGACTGCTCTTTGTCATCTTTTTGAAGATGCTATTTCATACTGAAAAATTAAGTTAGTGAAACAGATGGTATATGTTCTGGATGAGCCTAGGTTTTTTTCTTATGTCTAAACGAAAGTTGATAAGAAAGAAATGGGGTTTATTCCCTATATGAGTGAAAAATTTTGCTCCATGGAGGGAGGGAGATACTTACACAAAGTATGTCCATCAGTTTTGCTTCAAAGCCATCTTAAAATGGTCTAAGTGTGGATATCCCATGTATTAAAAAACTAAATGTATTATATTTAAATGAATATTTTACTTATGATATCACTGTTTCTGTTCCCAAAAAAAGGTGGGGCTGCTTCAGCAGATAAAATCTGTTTATATTGCATGGAGTCATCAGAATGTAAGATTTGCAACGGAATTATTTCCACTGCAGCCCGTTACCAGATTCACTGAGTTGCTTTTTGCCTTAATTTCGTATATTATGAATGGAAAATAGCTCAGTTAAATTCAAGCAGTGATTAGTCATGCCTTACGTTCCTGCTGGAGGTGGTTTCTGTAATGGATTAGCATAAGGATCTGGGAAAAATTAGTACACTTAAAAGATGCTCTTCTCTCTGAAAGGGTTTCTCTATGTTCTTTCTCTAAAGATAGGTCATTGCAATCATTTGAATACTGAAATGTAATTCTTAAAGATTGGATTTGGGCTTACAATAGAAGAAGGAGAGAAAGCTACATGCAGAAACAAGATAGGAAATGCTTATCTTGGATGTCATTTGCTTTCAAGAATTTTGAGTAACGCATTATGTTTAGCTGACATCTTGGCAAGGAAATTAGGACAGTAAATGTAAATTGCAAGGAGAGCAGATCATGTATATTTTCCTGATTTGGGTTGCTTGTTTGTTTTTGAAGATGAAGGTTGGAACAGATTGAGTTGTGTTTATTATTTGTGGTCTTACTTGTATCCTGAAACACATCATCTTTGTAGCTTCTGTGAGTGTTTAAACATTTGAGTAAATTCACAAACATATCCATGTAAAAAAAGCCTGGGGAGAGTGCAGCCCCTGCCTGCTCACAGTTTAATTTTCAGGCAAAAAAAACCCACTCAAATTCTGAACATGATGATGTCCGTTTGAAAAAAGTCATAAAAGAGAAAATCTTGAGCACTGAATTTGTTGAGCTCTGCTATGGTCACTCCCTGTGACAGGCAAGTGAGAACAGTTCAGCTGGTTGTGGTGACCTTCACTGGGTCAAGCTGGCACTTGGCAAATGCAAAGATGGAACACAAATATGATGGGGATAAATGGGCAGTTTGGGAACTGGAGGATTACATGGAGAAAGAAAACTGCTGGTTTCTCCCAATTAAAAGAGTTTTGCAGTTGCAGTCTACTTCCAGGTAAGATGAAAGTCAGTGTTCTCTGAAATGGTGTTTTGCAAGCAGTTTTGAATACTATGTGCTTTCTATCAAATATAAAAAATTCTGTAACTTCTGATGTATTTTAGGTGACCCTAATGAAGTATATTTTGAGGGAGTAAGATGCGAAAAAATGCTGGATAGTGAAACCTGGAAACAGTCTTTCTTCGGTGGAAAAAGCAACATAACGTATTGGAGAGCCAGAGATTCTGTGTTCAAAAGCGTGTAGAAAGAGGGACTAGAAATTCGTTTCAGCACCTTGCACAGAAGCGTGTGCTGGATTCATCGCCCGTCGAAGTAGGGAGCATCACTCAGATGTGAATACACTATTAGGTATTGATTGAGGTGAGAGGGGTCACCAGTGTCTGGTTTGACAGACAAGCTGTTAGAAAACTAGAAAAGAGTCCAAAGGCTAAATAGCACACTTCAAAATAACAATAATTTCTCCTCCTCTATGCTCTGTTTTGGGGCCGAAATAAGTAGGGGTTGCTTCTGCATAAATGTAAACCTGTCTTCTGATTTTAAACCTAGTATTTTAAGCACACCTGAAAATCATCACTGGACGGCAAAAACTTCCTTTAAATAAAAATTTCAGAATATATACTGAATTTACAATGTCTTACGTGGTACCCAAGAGTTCTTCCATGGGTTATTGCCTGTAGAGTATTTTTTACTTGCTAAAACAGAGTGAAGATGACATTCTGTGTATACAGCCAGTTACAATACCAATATTAGAGATCATTTGTTGCAGTTCTCAGAAGGGCAATCAGAAAACAAAGTGAGCAGTCTGATGGCTATGAAGAAAGATCGGCAAATTAAAAAATGCCTTAAGAGACCTCATAATTTTGGGTCCTGCTTCATGGAAAAATCCAACAATTGAAGTGTTCAGGCACCATATGCTGATGTACTTGCCTTCAGTGCAGATCCACCCATTAGTAAAACATTAGCCTCCCCACCTTAAATTTCAGTGTGGACTTTGCATGCCATACACAAGCCTTAGAGCAAGAAGTGTTTTAAAAAAATAATGTCCTGTTGTTTGTGTATACAAAGCTCCTTTGCTGACATCTGTTTCAATACTTACTGGGCAGATCATAAAGCAAGAAGCCCTTGACAATAAACAGTACAAGGTAAAAAACTCACCTTATTTGTCCCCAAACTTACAAGACTGTGTAACCACATACCTTTATGTCTAGAGGTTAGTCAAGGGCAG